CTCTGCTACCCGACCCTACCAAACCTGGTCCTGGCTACTGGAAATAAGAGGGATCTATCAGCCACAGCCATGTTAATAAACTCTTCCTCTGGGTTTATAAGGTAACCCGAATCACACACGCCAGCTGTGCTTGCAGCTGTGCAAGTATCAGGAGGGAAACACACCACAGGGAGAACCCGGGCTAGGAATGGCACCGCCTTTTGCTTCTCTGGTTTGCAAGGAAAACATGCCAAACAGGGAGGAAAAAGCAGAGGAGCTAAAGGCTGCTCCTCTCTCTCAAATGGTGGGCTCGCCATCATCCCCTTTGGCACAAGAAGTGGTTGTTCACAGATGTGCCCAAGGGAGGGAGGTTTCGGAAGCAGAAAGGTAAAGGGGCAGGATTCTTCCAGTTTCCTGAATGCGTTTGTCACTCACACCTTCCTTGGACCTTCTGATGGGTGGAACTACAATGACCAAGTGCTAGCTAGGTATTCTGGGATGTATTGTAATCCAATACATCTAGAGAGCACTAGATTTTGGGGCATTAGGAGCACCTAACTGGAGCACTCTGCACGTATTGTTGTTCTCTTTCTAGCAGGCCCTCCAAGATGGTGATGGCTTCTCTCCCAATCAGCAACTGTAACACCAAGACCAAGTTTGAAGCGAGTGTTTTCTGTTTCACAGCTTTAGCCATGATGACTGTACTCCACAGAATAATACGGGGCAAGGGGAGAGAAAGATTTTTGATAAGACTCTTCCAGCATCCAGGAGCAGCAGCTTCCAACTTTCAGATGTCACAACAAAGGAAGTATTCTGCATTTGCTTACCAGTGCTTCCAATGCATGCCATATGGCTGAACCCCAATCTCAAAACCACTTAAGCAAAAGTTGTAGTAAATTTGCGAAGGACAGCATGCTACTGATGAAGTCAAGCAACTGGGAACTTTTCTCTCTTGGTGAGTCATAAACAAAAGTCTTGGAATGAGCTTTTCATCCTGCTCACAAAATTAGACTTCCTGCTTACAAAATTATCCCTTCCTGCCTAAGCTTGCCCCCATCTTCCATGCTGCACATAAAATTACTTCTGTTGCCTTTCCAAGTGCTTTTCTGAGAGCTCACAGGTATGAGAGTTTACCTCTTCTGTACACGAGAAATGAGATCCTTTGCAAGAGAAAAATATCACCATATCCCTTCTACATGTTTCTCTCTGCACCTTCTTCTCCCCCACCCCCTGGCATCACTCCTTTCTGCCCCAAAAGCCCAAGGACAAAATCAAGGCACCAAATGGCTTCGGTACAACACTGAGAGTTACTTTATTGACACGGCAGGGCAGCCCCGGAGAAAGGAAAACAGGCAAATGGGAAATGGCAACCACCCTCTTTGGGGCTGGTATGGGACAGAAGGGTTCTTGGCTTTGCACCTTCAATATTTGAGGGAATAAGTCAGTGAAATGCCAAAAAAAAGTACCGTCCCCCGAAGGGTGAAGGCCTGTGGTTAAAAACTTTGGAAAGAAAAAGAGGGTGTTCCTTGCCGTTTCTGCATCTTAATAGCCAAGAACCCTTGTCCTCAGTGGCTACTAGAAGTCCATTTTAGCTCCGAAATTGTCCAGGATGAGAAATGCTTGCCCCAAGAAGAGTTCAAACCCACCGTCCTAGAAGAGCCCCTGTTCTGGACTTGCCTGTCGGAAGCCTCTGTGTAGCAGTGGCCGAAAGAGGCCCTTCTGTCCAAGGGGTCTCCAGCCCAGGGAGAAGCCACGTGGGGAGGAGGCAAAGGGTGAACCCAGAGTTGGGGCTCCGCTTTATGGGAGCCTTGAACACATGATGGGAACTGAACGGAGGGGCCATCTTTCTAAAACCCTAGGAATAATCAGAAGTACTGACAGTCAAGCTTGGTTTGTTCTGCTTGCTAAATGCTAAAAATTCCCCTTTTGATACATTACAAATAACTGATTTCGTAATGAAGCACTCCGCCCCTCAAGCTGCTGCACAATTTTATTCTTATCTTCCTTCCCAGGTACTGATTTGCCTTTCTTAAAACAGGATTTCCCCCTAGTGCAATTCTGGAGAGAAACCCCAACTTCCTGCAAAGTTTCCTTCCCTCTTTTGATCAGGCTTTCCACCCCACCCCCGTTCTTGGTCCCAAGAGCCAAGCTGGGGGGACAGTTGCTGAACATGCCACACTCGATGTTGCTGTGGGCTGTCTGCCGTCAGGAATCACGCGGCTGGAATGAAGACAAATATAGAGAAACTGTCCTTAAAAACTCATAATGAATCATGCTTTATGGCAGACAGATAGCAGAGACGTGCAACTGAGAAGCAAAAGCAGGTGCTTGAATGGCTGAGTTGTTCAGAAGCAGTTATACCCTACCTTTCACTGCCTTTATCCCAGGGTGGCTTACAATGCCCATGAAGGCAACTTGCAGCAAGGAGGTCAACTGTATGGGGAGAGTCACTAACCTGCCCTTTGGCTAAACGGCCCTCTCCTCCATTAGCTTATAGCACAGCCTTTATTTTGCAAAAAGGGAGTTTATGCTCAACAGACAGCTCAGAATCCTGGCCATGAGGACACCAGGGCAGCAATAGCCATTTTCCCTAACCTAACATGGCACCTTCCAACGTGCTGAGGCTGCAACTCCCAGAATTCCCAGTGTGGCTGAAGCCACCGGGACCTGGGAGCCTGGAGTCTCAACCCCTCTGGAGGGAGCCAAGTTGGGGAAAGTTGCTCTTGCAAGCCCCACTTCATTGCACCAGCCTTGCAAGAGGCGCTGCCTGCACTCCCAGAGACCGAAGCTGTTCTGGGGTAGAGGGGCTACGGTAAGAACTGCACAGGCCCATAGAAAACAGGTTGCAACTTGTAGGATGCAAAGATGTCCTTTGGCTCATTGTGTCACATCAGCTTCCTCAAGGGGAGAGTTCCTGGGGGTGGGGGGAACCTTTTCCAACCAGACAGACCTCCTGATTTAGAGAACAATCCTGCCCACAGAGCTGCCAAAGGGGGACCTAGTTCACTTTAAAAACTAAAAGAGCTTTCTTTTTCAAAACCTGAAGGTTGCTTACTCACCTGATAAGGAAATGTTCTTGAAAAGCATTGAGGGAAGTAAAATTGGGAGCAGATACTTTGGAGGCATTTTGATTATCTTAGTCAGCTGACTTTGGTCCCCAAATCATACTCTTTTTGAACCCTTGTGGAAGAGGGAGTAGATGCCAGTCAGCTGTTCTGGCAGCTGGAATCCTTAAGATCCACAAGGTAGTTTTATATATTTATTAGGTCAATTTATATGGCCATCCAACTCACACTTGCAACTTTGAAGTCTGGGACGATCACCAAATGCACCATGTTGCCACTAAAACAAGTAATTTCTGCTAGAAATGTTAATTCACTGCCCTCCTTTCTTTTAAAGGCTGCAAAACTTCTGTGGCTTATTATATCTGTGGTGCTGCACTTCCTTGCCCAGCGAGAGAGGACTCTAGCAGCTTAGAATTCTTCAAAAGGAGAATGTTGCTCTTTGAGAAGAACAGAAACATAAATCACAGGAGGAAAAAGAAAGGAAAACGAGGGCACAGGTCAGCCGAGAGAGAAATGCTTCCTCCCCTTCTCATGCCTACCACAACTGGGCTGCCTTCTGACCCACCAATACAGCTGAGTGGCCAACTGGACCTTCTAATGATGACCTCTCAGGCAGCCCTTCTGTCTTCACCGCGTGTCTGAAGCTGCAGGGAAGTTGTGAGAAGTCCAGGAATGTTGCACCAAACCAGCCCAACAGGAGCCCAGAGAGGGATGCTCCCCCCCACGCTGCTTCCCGCTTGGCCCTGAGAAACTGGAGCACATCTCAAGGCCACTGAGAACGGAGGGGAGCTGAACAGCCTAGGCTGCCCCAAGGGCAGTTGGAGCCTTATCTTGGGGGCTCTTGGCAAAAATCCCAGGAGGCTAAGGGGAGAAAAGTGTCTGTTTGCCTCCACCCAGCAAAAGGGCACAGGCAGACGGCCTGCTGACAACTGTTCCAGGCCAGGAGCAAAACTCAGCACACCAGGATATGGAACAAGAGGCTCAGCGCTGACCAAGGACCCAAGCAAAGGGCTCAGAAGTGGGAAGTGGATAGCTCTGTGGCTCTAACCCCCACAGCAGCTTAGAAATCCTGAGCCAGCTCTCTCACATTGTTAGGTGATGACAGCAAAGGAAACTTACTGGAATTCCCAGACTGGTCATTGACCTCAATAAAGATTCTTCTTCACTGGAATTCCACATGAAGAAAAGCTGAATTTTCCATCCTTTAAAAACTATACAGACCAGATAGTTTTGCACCAACATCCCCATTTTACTTAATGTATCTGATTGCGCAGAACTCACAAAAACCCATTCTCCAGCCCCTTGGAAATTTTACTGCCCACCTCCCACCTACCTCTTTCTAAAGAACCATAACTACTTGAAGTTTTATTTTCTGAAAATCGAATACATAAAGCAGACTCTGAATTCTGTGCCGCCTACAAAAGCTTTTCCCTTCCTCATCAGCTCATAAAAGTATGAGACAAATGCTGCCCTGGAGACAGCCTACGCTGTGCCGCTTGACCAGAGCAGGAAAGGAGATGAATAAAGAATTCAAACCTCTGAATTATTATACACAAGCAAACATATCTCTGCTTCTGGACCCTCCCTCTTAAGCTGACACGGCATTTCCACTGTTTGCAGAGCCAAGGCTTATGCCAGCCACTTTCCTTCCCACTGCTATTCAGGTGGGGCCTTCAGCACTCCTGTAAAGGTGGATCCGGAGGTGGAATGGCAGAAACTGCAGCCATTTCCTGATTTAACCAATTCTCCTGGATACGCCAAATGCCTTTCCCTCTGACTGAATAGGGTTCCAGGCTCCAGAAAAGGCAGCAGTGTGCGGCGCCCCCTGCTGGCCAGTGGCACACACCGCCCCAGAGAGTTCCTGTACATTAAAAAAGTATACCGTACAAATGAAGAGTCACATGTTTGTTTAATGGACTGTTTGTACAGCCTTTCTCCATAGTCGTCCTACAGCATTCTTTCTTGCTGACCCCAAAAGACAGGAAAGGAGAAGGGAGCACCAGAAAGGAAGAGCAGAGCCTTAAATGAACATAACCAGGTCTTTACTTGTTGCTTTTGAGAAAGCTGCCAGGATGCTGGCAAAAACCACATCTGGAGACTGGGAAGCATCAACAGCTGTATGGATGCCACGCCGGGAGTAGTAGTCCACCAGCGGTGTGGTCTGGGTGTGATAAGCCTTCAGGCGTGTTTTCAGCGCGGCTTCGTTGTCATCTGACCGGCGGATCAGAGATTCCCCTGTGACCTGGCAAGAGCAGCGATTCGTCAACAAGGACACCATCCAAGGACCCCCATGTTCAGGATTCCTGAGCTGGAAACACCTGGCGCCCAGCCCTTAAGGAGCATGGACGTCAGAGCTGCCCCAAGCAGCTGAAGGTCTGAAGTTCCACTGAGCTGTCGCCAAGGCTGATGAGACGACAATTCCTGATCGCTCAGCCAACAGAGCACGAAGCACCTGCTTTGGGTCAATGACTTGGCCTGGCACTGAACGGGGCAACTCTTACGTCTGCCTGTTTGACCATCAACTGAAGCCATTCGCCTTCCAGCTGGCCATTCTCCATGCCGAGGGTCCTCAAAGCAGTGCATAGTGAGGTGGCTGTGACAATGCCTGCAGGGGCAACCACCGGGGCCCTCTCCCAACGCCTGGTTGGAAAGGATTCCTCAGAGCAATGCCACCTGGAGGGCGACTGGTGATGACAGCTCATGGGCAGCTCTTCCCCCACCTCTGGCATACACAGAAGACATGGAAAGACGTGCAGGGTTAGGAGAAGTCAAGGCACAGCAAGAAATTCTCCCCTGGGAGAAGACACCTGCTGAAAACTGCAGCAGGTGAGGGGACTTGTGTGGGGCTATGGGCCTTGCTCTCAGAACACTAGCAAGCAAAGGATTCTGTCACGTGTGCAAAATTTTTACTTTGCACAAAAATACAGTTCAGATAAGCCTGCACCAAAATTCTGCAATCTGTTTAAAATCACAACAGTCACATACATCAATCATTTCTTGCTTCACAGAATTAAAAGCAACGTTTTGAATATTTACCCTGACATTGCTAATGATTGGTAGGGATCAGAAGGTAGTGACACACAGCCGCATACCCTAGATATTGAAAGTTGCATAGCCATTCTCCCCAGGACTTGAGTTGTAATTTCCACAAACCCAATGTTATAGCCCAGTGTTGTCCAAACTTGGCCACTTTAAGATGAGTGGACTTCAACTCCCAGAATTCCCCAGCCAGCAAAGTGGCCAAGTTTGGACAACTCTGTAGCCTATGCGTTTTCAAGATTTCTTCAGAACCATACAGGGGATATTCAGCTACTTGTTGGCTTGCCTCTCCATAGCAAGGAAACCACCATGGTTGAAGTGACTCCAAGATTCCCTTTGCCACTGACCACTGTCCCAGTTTGAGAAGCACAATCTGTGCCAATCAGTGCTACGCTGCGAGCCATCCAAATTCTAGCACCTAACAATACTATTCAAGGCCTATCAGGCAGCGAGAATTCCATCTCCATTTTGAATGATTCCATATTGTTGATTAAGTTGGAAAACATAAGCCAAGCAGCTACAATCAAACACAGAATCAAGTTTTAGGAGCCCAGCAGCACCCAAAGGAATCATAAAGCTTTTGACTAGAGGCACCTCAGCACAGCCCCCCAAAGGGAAAGACACATACATCATCCTTCATATGGACCTTGGGAGGGTTGAATTCCTCGTGGTATGAGCGGCCACTTCCTGGGTGGATTAGCCTGGGAGAGAACACAGGAAAACGTCAGCTTTATCAGTCTGTCATCTGCAACGTCCAAATGGGATAAAACTAGTCTATAGGCACCAAACTTTAGAAACTAATAACTTCCTTCGTAACTGTTACGCATTTCCAACAGTTACAAAGGAAGTTATTTCAGAAATTAAAAGGAAACAGAAGGGTAGGAAGAGAACATCTCTTATTGCAGCACTGGTGAAATCAAGGGAGTGATGCAAGGCCACTGAGAATGGGCAGGTTTTGTTAGTTTTAGCACATGCACACACAGAGAGAGGCCTTGCATTTGCAGCATGACTCAAGGTTTCTGTATGTAGGATCCCAGGTATTTCCCATTCAGGCACTGACCACGTCCTTATCTACTCGCCTTGTGCTATGAAATATGCTTCTAACTAAGTGAGCAAGTCTGACTTCACCTTACAAGGAGCTTCCACACAGAGCCCCTGGCTTTCTTGGATGGCTGGAATGCTGCCAAAGAGAGCAAATTTCCCCCAAGGAAAACGAAAGTTACCGTCCGGTGATTCTCCGGATGAGTAAGGAGTCAGCGATGCTGAATTCGATGACTGAATCTAGTTTCTCTTTCCTCTTCACCATGAGCTCATCCAGCTGTAAAATTGTGAAAAGGATGCCCAGGGAGTGAATCCACCCTGAAGCTAAATGAATCTGCTCTGGACCAAGGCGGACAAGCGCAGCCAGCAAACACGGGGTCAAAGCCAGAGCACAGGCCCTTCTTTGGAACTCCCGACTGGACTGATGCCCCCTCCCTGAGTCCCAGGAGCATCTGCAACTCGCAGGATGTCCACTTTGCATGGGGGGGGGGGTAACACGGGACACAAGTTATCTCCAAACCCAAGGAGACACTCACCATCTCTGCTTGTCGCACAGTGCGAGGGAACCCATCCAAGAGGAAGCCGTTTTTGCAGGGGGGGGTCTCCAGGTTTTTCTCAATCAGCTCCATCACCATCTCATCGCTCACCTTGCAAGAGAGGAAGGGGAACCAATTTGGTGCAGCAGCCACTGGATCCACTCAAGTCCACTAGAAAATTGTGCCTGTGGGGTGATCAGGCCTCCCAGCTGGTGTTGGGCCTTTGTGGCCAGATTCTGTTCTGCACCAATGGCTTTTACAAACGTATCAAATGTCAAGCTACAAGTCACCCATATTTTTGATTAAGGTGCACATGGGTGGACTATACATGTGCATTTCCGTTCTGGATTTCAGCACTGAATAAACTGCCATTATTTCTCACCCCGTGAACTGAGCCAATGCAGAAATAGTCACATTATCTAGAAAAGGGGCTCCAAGGCCTCATGTTCTTAAATGTCCCCCAATTCAGCCTCAGAAGCCTTCCAGGAGGACCGAGAGTTTCACTTTCCAATCCCTGCAAAGATTCCCAACTTTGATCTATGGGTGCTGGGGGGGGGAGTTTATGGTTTTTTTGCATTGGGGATTTTACTATGTAAGCCACCCGGAGTCACTGTGTGTGAGGTGGGCGGCCATATAAATTTGTTAAATCAATCAATCAATCAATCAATCAATCAATCAATCAATCAATCAATCAATCCTGTCACATCTACAACACTCCTAGG